ATGCATAGAATGGTTTGGGTTGGAAGGGACCTTCATAGAACCATAGATAATTCTCCCCATTTGGTTACATCTTCCTTGCCTTGCGCCCGCAGCGTCTGCCCAGCGAGAGCCTCTACAGCCCCCCCATCATCATCAAAATCATCGACAACCGCCCGTTCGGCCGCAGGCCCGTGGTGGGGCAGTGCACCATCCGCTCTCTGGAGGAATTCTACTGCGACCCCTACGGTGGGGAGACGAATGGTGCCCAGGAGCATGCAGGTACGTGGGGAGGGGCTGTGGGGGGGCCCAACCTTTGGGTATGGCTGCGTTTGCTCCTGGAGCTCGATGGGGAGGTGGCTGTGGGGGTCTCTAACAGCTGGGGCTCGTGTTTATCCTTGCCCTCATTGCAGATGATGTAAGCCTCACGCCCAGGGATGATGTCCTCATTGACATTGATGACAAAGAGCCTCTCCTTCCCACCCAGGTACGGAGAAAGCCCTCACTTTGCGTGCTATGGGTGCAGGGGGACGTGCAGGGGGGGCTGTGGCTGCAGAGGATGGAGTGCCTTGTGAGGAGCAGAGGGGCTGCAGTGGTGCAGGCACCTTGCAGGTCCCCCTGGACTCAGCAAACCCAGGAATATGGGCATGCATTCCTTCCTATGCACACCCAGCCACCTTGGTGCCGTTCACCGGAATGTCTCCCTGTCAGCCTTTTTATTTTTGCCTTTGCAAACCTCTTTGGATCACTGAGGAGCGTTTTGTTGCCCTGCTGCGATATCCTCCTGCACGAGGGTTGGCTCTGCAGCAGCAAAATTGAGGATTTCTGGCACAGTGTTCTTGCAGTGGGATCCCTGGGATGGGGTGGCACGGGGCTGCAGGGGGTTCTCCAACCCCCAGTAGATGCCTGGAGCCCTCGGGCTGCTTTGAGCTGAAAACATCTGAGCCTTGGGCCAGTCCTGGAGAGGAGGGAGGTGGCCAAAAATGCTCCTTTTCAGCATTTTCAGAGCGCGAGGCTTGGGCTTTCTTTACCAAAGCAAACATTTCCAACGTGAGCTGAGTGGCTCCGTTGGATCCCAGATGGATTCTCCTCCTTTTGTTCCTTTCAATTCTGCCCTTTGTTTGGGGAGCAGAGGAAGAGGCAGTGGTTTATTCCTGGAAAGCCAGCTCAGAATTCCCACCGTCTCCCTCCCCAACCCCAAATCCTGGCCCTGACCCCATTCCTCCAGCAGTCAGAGGTTGGGTGATGGCCGTGCTGGTGGTCCCACACCCGCGGAGGGGTCGGGGGATGAAGGAGCCCTCAGTTTCACGAGGATGGGGACAGTTCCCAGGTGTGCACGGTGTGTGGCTCTGGAGCTGCTCCCTGGCCTGCCCAGCTTGGCCTCCATCCCTCTGCTGGATGATGGGAACAAAGGACTGCTGTGTTGTCCCCGTCAGGAGGGAGAAAACAAACAGATGCAGAACTGCTCTGCTCTGAGGCTGCGTGGTGCATTGCGTGCAAGAGGAGGGGGAGGTTCAGCCTGAGGTCTGCTTAAAGCCAGGCTGTGTGCAGGGCTGCAGTTAGCAAACGCGAAGAAAAGCAGCTCCTGGGGCTCACACAAAAGCAGCATTTCTGCAGCAGGATCTTCTGGGCTCAGCCTTTCTGCTTTGCTCCTCTGTAGGATGGTTTGGCTGTGCGAGGGCTGAGCGTGGACGTGCGGGTGGCCTCCCCACATGCATGGTGTGGGTCAGCCCTGCTCGCTCTCTCCTTGTTCTCCACGCTCTCTCCTTGCTCCTCATCCTTCTGGGAAGCAGAGCAGGAAAGACAACCCCAAGGTCCACCTGCAGAAGTTGATAAAACCATCACAGGGTTCACAGAGTCAAGGAACCACTATGGTTGGAGAAGACCACTAAGACCCCCCAGTCCAACCTCAACCCATCCCCTCCATGTTCCTTCAAAGGATTGTAGAAACATTAAGGTTGGAAATGGCTTCTAAGACCATCCAGTCCA